GATTCCCAGAGAAACTGTGGTGGAGATAAAGTATTGCGCGTACCACTTTTTTCCGCCATGTATATCCCATCATACTCCTGACCATAGGTTCCCAAATGGAACAATGGTGAGTGCTGCAGTGATGAGCGGATGGCGCCGCGTTAAGAGCAATGAAAAGAAGTATCACCGGCACTCCCAACAGTAAAGTAACACGTTTTTTGTTTTGTTTTTGACACATGCTGACATTAACACAAACCAAATGACATTTCGGGGACGCACATTGCTCTGAATTGCAGTGCACTGGGGCAGGGAGGTGCATTGGGGTGCCTCGCAAATGAATCGCAAAACACGTGCTGTATGGTAACATACGCTAGGTACATGTTGCCATAGCGTGCATTAATTGCACGATATTGTATGACTAACGTTGGGTGTGAACGGTCCTAAGGGCAGACCACCTCACCTTAAGAGTCTCTTCGCACCCCATCCAGTGCGTTCTGGTACGGTTCCGTGCCCTGAATGCACTGGATCGCAAATAACAAAGCCTCCCGCATTCTGGGGTGGGAGGGGGGCGTGCTGTAGCCTCCTGCCAGCACCAGAACGTGTGTTACAGCAATGCCCTGCGTTCCAGTGTGATCGCAAACATAGTGCATGCGCTAGAACGTGGGAGACTATGTTTAAGCGATCCAGTGCGTTCAGGGGCCGCAAAGCAGGATGGATGAGGTGTGAATGAGCCCTTGAGGTGGTCTGTTAAAGTTTGTGTGTACACGATTCGATAGAGAGAGAGAGAGAGAGAGAGAAAGGAAAAAAAAAAGAGAGATTACTGAGTGGTCAGATTATTATGACCACCCCATCAGTACTTTGTTGGGCCACGAGATGACTCCACGAGATGTTGATATGTGATGCAAGGAATCTGACACTTCACTGTTGCCCTTCTGTTGTCTTGTACCAGTCTTGTCACTCTCCGTTCTGCCCTAACATTGACTAGTCGCTGACGGCCACAATTCGCACGTTCAGACCCAGATTTTTGGCTGACAGTCCAGCCTTTAAACACTTTAACAACAGCTGCTCTTGAACGTTTAATGAATTCTGCTGTTTTGCTGATACTCGCTCCATGGCTCCGAGCGCCAACAATCATCCCACGTTCAAAGGCTGATAAATCTCGTTGTTTACCCATATCTTCAGAACAAAATCACTTCTACTGTCGTGGTAAACAACCTGCTTCCCTATTTATAATGGTCTGGCCCTCTAGCAACTTCAGCGCCAAATTATAGCTAAAGTGTGTGTGTGTGTCACTTTTATTTTATTTTATTACTGCATAATACGGATGCACTGTCTCCCGGGTAGTAGAAGCCAGGGTAACATTCACAATTACAGCTTGCTAGAGCTTGACTTTTCTGGATCTCTCTGAACTACTCTACCCATCATGCTTTAGTGGCCTGTAACTTGAAGACAGTCATGTAGCTCCTGTCTCAGTAGGATGGCCCCAGAGGCTTCCAGACAAGTTGTGACATGAGCTGATGGTGATTGCGGCGTAGCTGGGAACCTCGCTGAACAATCTGTTTACTTCTATGTGGCATGTGAAAACAGCCCCTCAAGTCATTCTTTGTCATGTTCAGTTCCAGAAATGTCTCGCCGTGCTGGATTAGCCAATACCTGCTCTTAGCATGAACCTTCTGGTCCTAAAGCTGAGCTCCAGGCAAATGACGAGATGAAATGTATATACGGGAACTATTTTACCTGCCAAAGGATTTGTATTTCTGTCCATCCAGTCCTGAGATTTACACAAGTCTTTTGCACAGCTCTGTCTGGCAGGGAAGGAGACCTGACTTTTCTCTTCTGCAGTTAGGTAACACTTACAGGTCTTGTTCCTCCCCCTTTGTTCTCTCCCAGTTTGAGGCAGGCAACAGCAATAGGCTGAAATCAAGTCCTTAGCAGGACTAGCATTTAAAAAATACTTTTCATTATCCTAGGGCACAAAACTGCATTTTTTTTATTTGAGTTATTTCTTGAGTTTAGTTTGAAAGCATTCTGGGCAATCTTACCCTTGCAGTGGGGCTACCCCCTAAATCTTACCCTTGCAGTGGGGCTACCCCCTAAATCTTACCCTTGCAGTGGGGCTACCCCCTAAATCTTACCCTTGCAGTGGGGCTACCCCCGCATTGCAAGGTTTAAGCGCTCGTTTTGGGTGGGGGGGGGGGCTCAAATAAAGCAGACATACTTACCCCATTCTTGGGCTGCTAGACTGGATCCGTAGCCTCTTCGTCCCTGGGCTCCGGAGGTCTAAGGACTAGGTGCCTAAACTTCATAACTTCAGCAGGCTCTCCATTCCCCGAACCACCACACGAGCCTAATCTGTAAAACGACATCCTAAATCGTAACCAGCCTTCCTCTATTTACTCTGCTAAACTGACAATCATCCATTCTAATCTCCATCTGTCAGATCCATTCAGCTGCTAACTTCCCTTTTCAAGCTGACTCCTGATTTGTAAGCCCAGCCCTGCCCAATTCTCATCGTGTGGGCAACAGAACATCTCCATAACATCAGGGGAGGTGTTCTGTAGTCTATCATGGTGGACTTCAGGCAGGGCTAATAACGCTGATTGGGATTTCAGTGCAGTGAAGACACTGGGGGGGATTTTTCAAAACTGGAGCAGACAAAATCTGGCGTAGTTGCCTTGGGCAACCAGTCAACATCTCTCTTCAGTTTGTTCAGTTAAGCTCTGCAAATAAAAGAGTTGCTGATTGGTTGCCATGGGTTTCTGCTCCAGATTTTGTCTGCTCCAGTTTTCATAAATTCCTCTCACTGTGTTGTCAGCTTGGAAAGTAGGTTAGCAGATCAGCAGTCATTTTTCTGTGTTTGCAGTGTTTTTGAAAAGACAAAACACGGGGAAATGTGCATCTATGGCAGATATGTACTGTATCTTTTATTGTATTGTTTAACTATGAATACTAGTAACAAAGGCCATAACCCTAGTCAGGCCAGGCGACTGCTGTGGGGCCCAGAAGTGTGTGGGGACCCAGAGCTATACCTGGCTACACACAATTCATGCAGGTAGAAATAGCATTGGCAATTTATATTGATTAAGTGAATGGGGGCATATATCATTTTGAGGACCTCTATATGATTGCCATTGCAATAAGTATTGTGTATCACTAGAAGAGTTGCCATTTATAATGGCTATTAGGTGAGCAGGGGATCTTAAAGAAGCACTGTCACCTTTATCCATGCAGAACAAAATGACAGTGTCTTTGCAAACGCCCCCCATGACCCCTTAAAACTCGCTTTGTCTGTGCTCTATCGTTACAGTCGACACTGAAAACACTAGTGTTATGGACCAGGGGGAGTGATGACGCTACTCCTTTGGTCATGTGATAGTGCTTGGGGCAAGCGATTGGCTGCTAGGCCTGGGCACTGTGACACAAGAGGAGGTCACATGTTCCTCCATACCCAAAAGTAGGGCTGCAACCAACTAATCGATAATGAGGATAGTTGTTAACTATTTTTCATTATCGATTAGTTGGCTGGATCCCCTAGCTCTCTCCTCCATCCTGGGAGCAGGGCACAGCAAGCAGTGGGTGGGTGCAATAGCCAGTCTCCTATTGCAATTTGAAATGGCCAATAGCAGGCTGGCTATTGCACCAGCCCCACTACCTGCTGTATTTACATTCAGCTGCCGTCTGCGGAATCTTGCCACTGGCAGCTGTCATTCCCCGGCTAAAGCTATCCAAGCGTCATGTGCTTACAATACAATTATTTAAAAAATGTTTTATATAAGGTGGGGAAAAAAGTCATCTTTGGTTTCAGCCCAACAAATTCTGCTACGGGTGGTGCCATTCATTTCAATGGCACGCTAAATGCGCCTCCCACCCTCGATGTGATCACCCGCACTGGAACGCACGGTGCCACAATGCTGTGCGTTCCTGTGCAATTGCAAAAAATTGTGAATGCAGTTTTATTCTGAAGTAAACTTTTAGTGTCATGGAAACCCAAACTCAGGAGTTTCAATAATGTTGACTGTTGAGGCTATATTAAAAAGTCAATGTATTTATTTTACATGCGTTACATGGAGAGCATTGGAATCTACATTGCTCTGGCTGGCTATGGTCCTAATACAGCATGTATAGGGTCTGGGTTGTGTGGGAACCTGGCTATGTCCTTTTTGAAGTGTAAATCTTCTTTCTGATGGTATTTGCAGAGGTGACGAACATGTGTTGTTTACCATTCTTCTAAAACAATAGCTATTGTGCACAGGAACCAATTTCATTGTACTGTAAATGGTTTTGAAGAGGCATTCTTGGGGGGTCATCACATAAGATAAATGCAGGATGTTAGACAATATTTGATTGAACCAAAATATGTTATAAATAAAATGTCCCAATTTCCCCCACATTAGTAACACTGCATTTGTGTGTTTTTATTTTAAATTAGGGATGGTGTTTATTTCATTTTTCTTATCAATCGATAAAATAATCGATTATGAAAATAGTGATTAGCTGCAGCCCTACCTGAAAGCGTTGGGTAGTGTTGGAAGGAGCGGACATGCAGGTTAGTATGGGGAAAGTAGGGCAGGGGGCTTATTGGGGTGCTTGCAGAGACACTTTCACTTTGTACTTTGCCTGATATACATCTGACCACTAGAGGTAGCACTTCTGTATGAAACGCAGTAATCAAAGTATAGAACAACATATAAAGGTGTAAAAGGCACAACAAAAATGACTTTTAGGCAAGGGTTTCGATTAAAAAACCAAATCATCTGATTTGCTGAAACGTAGATTGCTGTAAATAGTTACTGATGTTGTTTTCCCTCCGCACTGTACAGCAGAAGAATACAGGCTGTGTTCTGGCCCGGTCTCTGGGGTCAGCTCTGTGCTAGCAGAATATGTCTTCACATCGTTGCAATACGTGACATAATGTTGCTGTGCGGCCTGGAACGGTCGGAAGAATGTGAAAAGTTCTATATATAATTCTGCTGGATGATTGATCGCTGTGTATAATTACCAGAACTGTGTTTGTGTTGCAGGCACCATGAATCAGACACAGCAATCAGAAGAAGAGGTTCCTGCTTATCTACGGGAGGAGGCACCAGAGGGTAATTGTGGTTTTCACTCGAAGGGATTGTCCTTTTCCAATTTAGTCTGTGTTATCATGATGGGAGTGAAATGACTTGCGGTTTAACAAGTTGTCTGTGATGGGGAGGGGGGGGGGGTTTACCCCCCCGGTTTAGGCTGGGGTTTGACAAAATGTGAATGCAGTTTTATTCTGAAGTAAACTTTTAGTGTCATGGAAACCCAAACTCAGGAGTTTCAATAATGTTGACTGTTGAGGCTATATTAAAAAGTCAATGTATTTATTTTACATGCGTTACATGGAGAGCATTGGAATCTACATTGCTCTGGCTGGCTATGGTCCTAATACAGCATGTATAGGGTCTGGGTTGTGTGGGAACCTGGCTATGTCCTTTTTGAAGTGTAAATCTTCTTTCTGATGGTATTTGCAGAGGTGACGAACATGTGTTGTTTACCATTCTTCTAAAACAATAGCTATTGTGCACAGGAACCAATTTCATTGTACTGTAAATGGTTTTGAAGAGGCATTCTTGGGGGGTCATCACATAAGATAAATGCAGGATGTTAGACAATATTTGATTGAACCAAAATATGTTATAAATAAAATGTCCCAATTTCCCCCACATTAGTAACACTGCATTTGTGTGTTTTTATTTTAAATTAGGGATGGTGTTTATTTCATTTTTCTTATCAATCGATAAAATAATCGATTATGAAAATAGTGATTAGCTGCAGCCCTACCTGAAAGCGTTGGGTAGTGTTGGAAGGAGCGGACATGCAGGTTAGTATGGGGAAAGTAGGGCAGGGGGCTTATTGGGGTGCTTGCAGAGACACTTTCACTTTGTACTTTGCCTGATATACATCTGACCACTAGAGGTAGCACTTCTGTATGAAACGCAGTAATCAAAGTATAGAACAACATATAAAGGTGTAAAAGGCACAACAAAAATGACTTTTAGGCAAGGGTTTCGATTAAAAAACCAAATCATCTGATTTGCTGAAACGTAGATTGCTGTAAATAGTTACTGATGTTGTTTTCCCTCCGCACTGTACAGCAGAAGAATACAGGCTGTGTTCTGGCCCGGTCTCTGGGGGCAGCTCTGTGCTAGCAGAATATGTCTTCACATCGTTGCAATACGTGACATAATGTTGCTGTGCGGCCTGGAACGGTCGGAAGAATGTGAAAAGTTCTATATATAATTCTGCTGGATGATTGATCGCTGTGTATAATTACCAGAACTGTGTTTGTGTTGCAGGCACCATGAATCAGACACAGCAATCAGAAGAAGAGGTTCCTGCTTATCTACGGGAGGAGGCACCAGAGGGTAATTGTGGTTTTCACTCGAAGGGATTGTCCTTTTCCAATTTAGTCTGTGTTATCATGATGGGAGTGAAATGACTTGCGGTTTAACAAGTTGTCTGTGATGGGGAGGGGGGGGGGGGTTACCACCACGGTTTAGTCTGAGGTTGTACATAAGTGTGAATCACTTTACATTCACTTTTGAATCAGTTCCACTTCCTGATTCATCTTCAGGACGGGAATTGGAGAGAGATCTCCTCAGCTGGTCACAAGTGACAAAAACAATCTGGGTTTTAACACCTTCCCTACCCTATCCAAATTATTAAAAATGTTTTTTTAATTTATAGATACACTTTACAGCAGTACTCCTACATGTGATATATTAAAAAGTTACCTCGCACGTGTAAAATAAGAAAAAAAACGTTTCCCGCTGACTTGCTGCTCTGTGAACCTGCAACCAGGGGACCTTAAAGAAACACTGTCACCTTATCCATGTGGAACAAAATGACAGTGTGTTTGCAAAGGCCCCCCTGACCCCCTAAACTCTCCTCGCCTGTGCTCCCTCAACGCTCTTTTCTATGTCACAGCCATCACTGAAATAACTGGTGTTGGGGACCAGGGCGAGTGATGATGCCTAGGAACCCACTTCCTGTGAGTCTAGGGCGTCTGATACCATTCAGGTCCTTCTGTGTCCTGTAGTGATTTAGGGGCCAGCAGATGGAAGCACAGTATATCTACAGCCAGAATGTTTTGGTTTTTGTTTTCTTCATTTTAAATAGAGGAAATGGTTAAATCATTGGTTTCAGGTTTTTTTTTTTATTTCCTTCAATGGGAAATTTTTCTTCAGAGACTAGACTGGAAGTGGGAAAAAATCTCCCCAAAGTAAGCAGAAATCCCCTCTTAGTTGTCACTGGAACACGTGTCCCCTCATCTCTTTTTCCACTGCTAACCTTAAGTTCTGTATTTATGTATTCAAGGTGTTTATATAGCGCTGCACATTTACACAGTGCTTTACACAGTACACTTTTTCACATCAGTCCCTGCCCTCAAGGAGCTTACAACCTAAGGTCTCTATGCACACAGGGCTGATTTAGCCAGAGCCAATTAACCTTCCAGCATGTCTTTGGCGTGTGGGAGGAAACTGGGGTACACGGAGGAAACCCACACAAGCACAGGGAGAACATGCATGGCCGGGATTTGAACTCTGGTCCCACAGTGCTGCAAGACAGAAGTGCTAACCACTACACCACTGTGCTGCCCCACACGTTTCCACATATTTCCCATCACTTCCTTCCCTGCTGACAATGGTCCCAAGGAAAAATAGAGAGGCTGGGTTTCCCTAGCAGGACACAGCACCCTGACACTTTAATTTCCACCACAGCTCTTGGTACACTTTTACCTTTATTTCGGTTCTTTTCTTTTTTTAGCTGTGTAGGGAACAGTTGCCAGACCTTACACACCGCACAATCAGAAGATGGGGGATTGTGTGGTCAGGCAGTTGGCAGGCCTGAAGATGATCTGGGACCCTTGGATTGCTTCAGCAACAGGCAGTTCCCATATGTCTACTCTGACAGGTTCCTCTTAAGTTTGTGCGTGGTGATAAAGCTTTCTCCATCAGAGAATCTTATGATTGCATGTCTGACCCCGTGTCACAAGTCTGCAATATGAAAATAGTCTGTGTTTACATCATTGTCCTGTTGACCAGCTGAGGATATCTTCTCATGCCACATATCAGGTGTGATGGCAATAGTGATGACAGAGCTATTTCGGGTGCTGGAATGTACAGTACTGTCCGCTGCAGTGACATTGTGTGTGAGCCTATGACTTATCTACTGAACTATTGTTCATTTCATTAAAGTGGACTAGTAAAATGGTTGCCTATTCCCAAAAGAGTCATTTTGGAATTTTGATGTTAAATCACTTTGGACTTTTAGGGCTTGTTCACACCGAAAGCGTCTGCGTTCCAGAGCGGTAGCTGGTGGAACGCACCGCGATCGCTAAGAAACTTCCCCCCGCGTTCTGGCACCTCTTCCCCACACACACACACGCACCCACCCCCCCCCAACCCCCCCCGCCCGCAGTGCGATCGGACGCGTGGCAAAACTTTTTTTGCAGGGTTGCGTTCCTCGGCAAACGCAAAAAATAGAGCAAGCCCTATTTCTTGCGTTTTGCAGTGCCACGCGTCTGATCGCACTGCGGGCGGAAGGGGCGTGGAAGCAGTGCCATTGAATTCAATGCACCGCCACGCCCCCTCCCGCCCCACCTCGCAGAGAAGTTTCTTAGCGATCACGGTGCGTTCCAGCAGCTACCGCTCTGGAACGCACACGCTTTCTGTGTGAACAAGGCCTAAGGATCTGTATGTAGCAGTTAAGGTAAGGATTAGGAGAACTGGCCACACGTTAGAATCTGATTTTATAATGTTTACTGTAGAATCGAATAGAATTGTATGGAAATAAAGGTGAGTGAGTGTGTAAGTGACACTAAACTCAGGAGTTAAATCTTAAAAATACATTAAAGTACCTTAACTGCTAACAAAAAGGCATTTTATTTGTGTATCACTCGGCTGTAAATCATCAAATCATCTCTGAATTGGTGCTGACACTGTACTTCCTTCTAGAGGATGGCTATGTTTGCTCCCCATGGTCACAGTGTTTGTTGTAAAGTAGCCACCACTCCAAGCTCACTCCTGTGATGGACTACAATCTCAGTACAAATGAGCAAACTAAACATTAGATTGTAGTCCATCACAGGAGCGAGCTTGGAATGGTGATTTACCACAAACACAGGGACAATGGGGAACAAAAGTAGCCACCCTCCAGAAGGAAGGACAGTGTCAGCACCAATTCAGAGATGATTTGAGGATCTACAGCTGAGTGATATAGAAATAAGATACATTTTTGTTAATAGTTAAGGTACCAAAATGTATTTTTAAGATTTAATTCCTGAGTTTAGCGTCGCTTTCATCCGGCTGAACAATGTCCTTCAGTTTGGCCAACAACTATTTAGTGCAGTGGTCTACCACACTGGATATAAATTGAATAGAATGCTTGGGCAGACACAATGCACAATGTAGGCTTCTCATTGATGGCTCTGACATTGGAGTGAGGCGTGTGTGCTGGTAATGTCACTCTCATAGGTGACATTGGGGAGTGTGTGCTGGAGTGTCACTCTCATAGGTGACATGAGTAGTGATAGTGGGGAGTGGGTATAATTCACTCTCCAGCAAGAACCGTAAACAGCCCGGTAATTATGTCAAATCTTATGAGACTGGCCGAGGCAACCTTGCTGAAAGCAGAATTCTGGGAAAATTATCATTAACCCTTGTGGTAGCCCTCTGCACTGCAAGGGTTTAAGTGCTCGTTTTGGTCTAGGGAGGAAAATAACTAAGGTGTACTCACCCGATCCTGCATGCTGTGATAGCACACCCTCCTGTCTGTCTACTCCTATGCTGTAGTGATGGGATCTCCCTCAGCATCCTCATGTTCTATACACTGTGTATTGAACGTGATGATTTATGGGACCTCAGACCGCTGCAGCAGAGGGGAAGAGAGGCTCCAGGGACCGGTCTAAGAGCAAGCCAGCTCGGAGGATCAGGCGAGTATAACTTTGTTATTTTCCTCCCTAGACTAAAATGAGCACTTAACCCTTGCAGTGCAGAGGTAGCCCCACTCCAGGGGTTAAGAATAATTTTCCCCAGAGTTCTTTAAGATCCATACTGCAGGTGTACATGTGTGAGACAGTTATCACCAGTGGTGAAAGGAAATCTCGCAATGGGATCATCTATTTTAGTGACAACTGTCTAAGCGGGAACTTTCCCTCCCTTTTTAGAGAGATTTCCTCTCACTTCCTGTTGCATCTCCATGACAGGAAGTGACACTCCCACAATTGGTCACAGGCTGTAAAGAAAAGAAAAAAATGACAGCCGTCCTATCCATTACCTACTGTATCCAAAATAAACAATTGAACTGAACAGGTCTGCACTGGGCTGTCAGTGCCCGTATTGGAAGATGGATACATACAGGGAGAATAGTCTACATAACACATAGGGACATATTTATAAAGCAGTCATTGTGGTTCTCACTTAATATTTGCTGGTGGCGAATCAATAACTGTAAATGAAAACTGCACCAGAGTGATGTCCACACATCTAGCTTTCAATATACATCTAGCTTTCAATATATGAAGCTGTTCTCGGGCAGATGATGGAACTGGTGCAGCAGACATTTCCTTTCACACATTCTCCATATCACAGATCAGTGTGGTGAGCGGCGCTGAGTTTGCTTCATTGATGTGACAGGTGAAGACCTACTTTTGAGGGGTGCTGGGGTTTGCACAGACGTTAAGCCGGGCAGGGTTTGATTTGTTGAGAGGTGAGAACTGCATAGAATATGAACGTGTCGTGTTTGCTGTCAGAGCTCAGGGTGAAGAATGGGTTGCACGAAGGTGTCATAGTAAACAGAACAGGTGTTGTACAGTGTCACGGCAAATGCCTTTCAAAGACTTTACTTTCCGTTTTAAAAGAATTGGAAAGTGAAATTCATATTTTTCAAACTTTCCATCTGTTACATATGCAATATGTCTTTTGCAGCCCTGCCCATTCTTGTACATCCTATTGCTGACCTTGGATGGTTTATACTAACAGAACTAGCCCTGTGTATAGTGTTGTGGCTGTAGGCAAGCACAGTACCTTTTGGGTCAGTGTATTTCATGCATAGTGCATCTCGCAGCAGGAGACAAGCAATGCACAAAGGGAAATCGGAAGACCAAGATAAGAGCACTTCAAAGAGACCCTGCCATCAAACATTTCAAGAAAAAGATATATGTGCATTTAAAGTCTTTTATGAATGTTATTTACCTGTAAGATACTCCCTTGTGTAGACATCCAAAAGTCTGCTACTAGGCGATGCTATCTTGAATATGATGTTGGCAACCTCGGCACTCTCAAAGCTGCTACTTAAAGTGACCCTAAACTCTGGAATTCTTAAAAATGCATTCAAGTGCCTTCACCATTAACAAAAATGTATCTTATTTGTGTATCACTCGGCTGCAGATCTTCAAATCATCTCTGACTTGGCGCTGACACTGTCCTTCCTTCTGGGGGTTGGCTACTGTTCCCCATGGTCCCTGTGTGTGTTGTAAAGTATTCACCGCTCCAAGCTCGCTCCTGCGATGGATTACAATCTCAATACAAATTAGTAAACTAAACTTGAGATTGCAGTACATCACAGGAGTGACTTTACAGCGCACACAGGGACCATGGAGAACAGAAGTAGCCACCTCCAGAGGAAAGGACAGTGTCGGCACCAATTCAGAGATGATTTGAGGATCTACAGCCGAGTGATACACAAATCGGATACAATTTTGGTAATAGTTCAGGTACTTGAATGTATTTTAAGATTTAACTCCTGGGTTTAGTGTCCCTTTTACGTGACACTCCATAGTATTCCACTTCAATGCTCCTTCAGGTGCTACATAAAAGATTATGTAGGGAGGGGAAGGGAAGGGCAGAGGAGCTGGTACATCATTGAGTAATTAGACATTATCCGAAGAGAGGGTGATGACATGCAAGGAGGCAGGGAGCTGTGCTAGGGATTTCTTGGGTCTCTTCTGGAGTGGACACATTTTCTAACAAGTTTAAATGCACATTGCAGGTGAATAAATAAATGTAAAATTCTGCAAGGAAACATTTAAAATACTTGTTTTTGTTTCTGTGCTTTTACCTGCATTTTGTTTTTTAAGTTAGTGACAGGGTCTCTTTAAAACAAAGTGCACCTATTGTTTTTGCTCCAATTCCCTGAACCAAACTGCTCTTTATCCCATGATGAAGTCTATTGCTTGTCGTCTTTCCTTCCACATCCTTTCCACTCCCTCTGGTGGTGGCTAGGAGCTGCAGAAAGGCACGGCAAGTCGGTAATGGGTAAGGATCAGCTGAAGGGAGACTGCAGGCAACCCTGGTGACTAGGGATGAGTTTGGGTTCGGTCTAGACACAAAAGGGAGCTGTCAGTGCTGGCCCAGTCAGCTGCATCCAGGACGTTCCTTGCTAATGTCATTGACCTAATTTGGCCATATAGGGTTTATGTCACCATCATCCTGCCCCTCTTTTTTACATGCGGGCTAGGGAATGCCACAACTGCGGCTGATTGGGCCGGCACGGACAGTCAAACCTGAGCTCATCCCTACTGGTGACTAGTCATTTGCCTTCTGCTTGCCTTTTTTCAGTTCCTTTTTAGGGTGTAAGAAAATGGTGACTCCTTGAAGATGTGCCCTAACAATAAAACTGAGCAGGTGACTGTATTATGAGAAATATAGAGACTGCCATTGAAAACCTCCTGAAGATGCTAGAGACCTGATTGTGTCTGACCAAAGTGTCAGCTCTTGTGATTTCTCTAATTGATGTGGGTCAGTGACTTGGATAACATTTTAAAGTCGAAGTTTCAGAATGACAGCCAGGGAACCAGCATTTTCAAAAGGAGTCAACAGTGGCGTCTGACATTTATTCTTGATAGGTTCCCTTTAATCTTGCATTGGTTTTTAACTGGATGTTGGTTATTCTCTGCTCATCTGAAGATTTCTCTGAGACGCATGCTAATAACGTTTTCTGAATTTCTTCCCAGACTCTGTCAAGGACCACCCTCAGCAACAGCCTGGAATGATCTCTCGCGTAACAGGGGGCATCTTTAGCATCACCAAAGGAGCAGTTGGCGCCACCATTGGCGGAGTCGCCTGGATCGGAGGCAAAAGCTACGAGGTGACCAAAACAGCTGTCACATCGGTACCCAGTATAGGCGTAGGCATCGTGAAAGGCGGCGTGTCAGTGGTCACCGGCAGCGTGGCCGCCGTAGGATCAGCAGTCTCCAGTAAAGTCTCTGGAAAAAAGAAGGACAAATCTGACTGAGCCAATCGTGTTATCTCTTAGAGGACTGTCCCTGCCGCGATTTTGGTATCTGTCGAAGAGCCAAGCCAACGCCACATAAGACACTTGATATTGTAGCAGCGGTGCGGCTAATCAAGCAAGCGGATGGGAGCGCAGCAGTGGTACAGTGAACACGGATTATAACCCCGTTCACTGACACTGCGTTTCAAATGTTACATTTATATTACACCAAATCATGTGTTTGTATCATTCACAAAAATATTTTGAATCTTTTTTTTTTTTTTTTTCTTTTGCTGGAAACGGTGACATCCGCAAAGCCATTTGTTTAGAGGATATTACGTCAGATACTTTTTTTTTTTTCTTTTTCTTTTTTGCGTGTGTTTTTTGCTTATTATGTTATCAAAAGTCACAGCACATAGATGTGTTTATTATGGTTAGCTGTTAGTATTTCTTTTTTTCATTTTGTGTTTGGCTAGGCCGATGAAGCAATACCATGATGTGTCGATCCTTTGCAAATTTCCTTCATGGTTTACCGAGTCAGTGCAATTGTATTGGTAGATGGTGGAATAGAAGAGTCGCTATGGTATAAATAGAGGTGGAACTCTTATAGTAGTCCTCTTTGTTTGTTTGTCCAAGAATTTCAAATGCTGTTCCCCCTCCGTATATTTGTTCCATAATACATGTTCTATTTTGTGCTAGGTAACTGCTGGTGTTTTACGGATCTCTTCATTTATTGGCTTGCATCCCAGCTGAGGATGTAGTCTTTAAATGGAACATGTCAGGATATATATACACGAGCTGCATCAGTGGCTTGGTAAGAAAGGATCAGAATGACAGCCTTGGAACCCGCATGTGCAAAAACAAATCCTCATTGGCAGCTTCCATATTTCTATCCTGACAGGCCTTCCCTTGAATCCAGGTACAAATGAAACCTACATTATAAGAGCCTCTGCTTGCTGAAATTGTGTGTGCATGTATAGTCAAAACTATTATTTTGTAGTTTTGGATAGGAAAGGATTAAAACCCCTGTCAGTTATTTTTTTTTTTTCTGTGTCCTGATGCGGTGATTTCCCTTCACTTCCTCTACTGTGTAAAAGGAAACCTCTCTTAAAGTGAGAGTCTCCTCTAAGACGCAACATTTGTCCCCATTGGATGGTTTACCTTCCTTTTGCTCTGGTGACAACTGAAAAAAGTTTGGATTTCCCATCACTTTCTTTCTCCATGACGATGGCCACCAGAAGAAATGGAGGGAAAAGTTTTTCCCCAGGGGCCTAACCCTTCTCCACTCTATCCAAAAGTAAAAATGAAGTTTTGCCTTTACATACTCTTTATTTCCAATGCAAGTCGTTTGTTTGCCTGTACGTCCTCCGTTTTGTAAGCTGCTTTAGCCTTGAAATTGGGTTCAGGCCCCGCTCCTCGCTATATGCCTAAATTGGGCTCTGACCAAACTCTTTTCACCTTCTCTTATGCCATAATGCATTGTC